TTCTGAAGCTGCTTTCAGAGCCAGTTTACAAATCACAAAAGAAAGTCTCATTAAAGTCAGACTTCATTTTGACTCAACCTGAAAACCTATAACAACCTCAAAACATAGTTATTTTTCAAAAACAATCTAGGAGCTGAGGGTATGTCTTAAGAGGCAGAGCACTTGTCTATCAAGCTGGAGGCCCTGGTTTTCATCCCTAGCACTGGCCAAAAAAAAAAGACAGGGGCTGGGGTTGTGGCTCGGTGGTAGAGTGCTCGCCTAGCATGCACGAGGCACTGGGTTTGATCCTCAGCACCACATAAATGTAAAATAAAGATATTTGTCCAAGGGCTGGGGTTGTGGCTCAGTGGTGGAGTGCTTGCCTGGCAGGCGTGAGGCCCTGTTCGATCCTCAGAACCACATGAATGTAAAATAAAGATATTGTGTCCAGGGCTGGGGATGTGGCTCAAGCGGTAGCACGCTCGCCTGGCAGGCACGCGGCGCAGGGTTCAATCCTCAGCACCACATACAAATAAAGATGTTGTGTCTGCCGAAAACTAGAAAATAAAAAATATTAAAATTCTCTCTCTCTCTCTCTTTAAAATAAATAAATAGTAGATAGATTAACTATCCATAGCTTTTTGTGTCAAGGTTTGTGGAGGGGAGCAAATCTACATTCAGAGGATGAAGAAATGCTTCTGTGAAGATAATGAAGAAAATATGCCATATACTTCTTTGTAATTCATGATCTCTGTCCTCAAAGGACTTATATATATTTTAGTTTCCAACTGTAGTAGGCAGTTGGTAAATATTTTAAATAAATGAACTGCTACCTTGTATTTGTTTTATTCTTTTTATGTGTTATAACATAAAACAAATACAAGGTAGCAGTTGTCCATTTATTTAAAATATTTACCAACTGTCTACTACAGGCCAAGTCAGGAGGAGTTTGGGAGATACAAAGACAAGGAAGGTAAAGGCCTGTCCTCAGGAAACTCAGTCTCAAGGGGAAAGGCAATACACAGTCCAGGACAAGCAGAGCTGTTACTTAGCAGGTATAGGCAGATGAGAACTCGGCTGTATATGGCTGGCATTAGTTCTAATTCATCAGTCATTCTTACTGGCTAGTGTCTGTGCTTATCCTCTCATAATACCAACTCATAAAATTTCTAAGAAATTACTATATGAGAAATGATATCCACCCCCCCAAAAATATTAAAAGGTTAAAAGAGCACACGGTGAGAACTGATGTTTAGGGATGGTGTTGGGTCTCCCTGAGTTTCTTAGCAAGGAAGGTCGGCATTTTGGAAAAGGATACTAGTTCTAGGTGAGGGGAATGGAATTACCAAGGGGCCAGGGGCTAGAATTACCCGTCTGGTCCTTCAACATGTGTTGAAGACATGGTTTAGAGCTATGCCACTCAACATAGGAGCCACTGACCACATCTGCCTATAAAGTATCTGAAATGTAGTCAGTCTGAACTGAGATGTATATGAGAGAAAAATATGCTCCAAATTTCAAAAACTTAAGTGGAAAAAAAAATGTAAAGAATCTCAGTAACAATTTTAATGATCACATATTTAAATAACATTTTGGATATACTCAAATAATTGAAATAAAGTGCTGTGAAAACCAACTTCACCCCTTTCTTCTTACTTTTCTAATGTGGCTACTAAAAAATTTTAAGTTACATACATGGCTCACATTTGCAGTTTTTGCTTTCAAACTTCTATTGGGCAGGGCTAGTCTAGGGAACTTTAAAAAACAGGCTGAAGAGTTTAAACTTTCTGGGGAATGAAACACCAAGGAAGGTTTACAAACCAAAGTGTTTATGGTAGATCTGGGAGGGAGCAGGAAACATGAACAAGGCGCTGTTTCAGGAAGACTAGTGTAGGGGCAAAACACTGGAGGCAGCTGTCAATGTCAAATGCCAAAGGGTAAGCAGGCTACTCAGTTGGAAAGGATACAAGGTCTCTAGAAGCAACAAGCTGGGTGGACAGACAAGGAAGAACTCAAGAGTAGTTTGAGGGCTGGGGATGTGGCTCAAGCGGTAGCGCGCCTGCCTGGCATGCATGCAGCCCGGGTTCGATCCTCAGCACCACATACAAACAAAGATGTTGTGTCTGCCGAAAACTAAAAAACAAAATATTAAAGGTGTTCTCTCTCTCTGTCTGTCTCTCTCTCTCTTAAAAAAAAAAAACAAAAAACTGTTCTCTCTTAAGCATTTAAAAAAAAAGAGCAGTTTGAGACTAGCGAAGAATAACAGGTGCAAGTGCTGAGCCCAGCCTAGATAATCAAGATGCAACTCTCATATGAGTTAGCAAGCCCAGCACAGTTTAGGTTAAACCTAGTTTAGCTTAGTAATAAGGGTGCCCAGGCAGAGGTACAAGTCAGAGAACAGAACGAGTGTCCTCTTCAGCAATTATAGATCTATCTCTATATGGTAAGACTTCCAACAGCGGGAAGTCCCAGAGAATGCCAAGAGGAGGTAGGCAACACTACCAGAAACGATAGTATAATAAACAATAAAAGCAAAAGCCCAACTTATAACATAATCAATAAATATTTTCTGGGAGTCTGCTCTATGCCCAAACTCTTACAGGCTCTGCAGATATGGCAAAAATAGAAATGGTCCTGAATCACAAATTGCAGTGAGAGCTATGAAAAATGAACAGAAGCTCTGAGAGACCTGAGGGTGGATGGCAGTTGTGGGATGAGGTCGCGAAGAAAAGCTTCTCTGAGCAATGACAATTTAATGTGAACCTTGAGTTGGTTTGGTGATGACTTGAACCCTGAACTAAATTGCATTTTTTATCTTTATAAAACTCAAATGGAAGAAATATAAAGACCTTAGATGTACTTGTGTGAAAATGTTCTTAATTTCTAAAAACCAAAAATAGACTTAATGTTCAATTCTTAAGTATGGGCAGCCTATTCACCAGTGGCGCCCTCCTTCTCTACTCCTCTGCTCTGCATGTTCTTTCTACCTTTCTGGCTCTGGATAATTTAGAGTGGCTCAGAGGTAGAGTGCTTGACTGGCAAATATGGGACACTGGGTTCCATCCTCAGCACCACATAAAAATAAAATAAAGGTATTGTGTCCACCTACAACTAAAAAATAAATATATTAAAAAAAACAACTTGAGATTAAACCTATGTCCTTGAACTTCCCAAATGTATGGTTCTTACAGTCCTTTTTCTCGTCCCTGGAACAGTAATGATATTACCTGATTGGTTTGAGGTAAGGATTAGGAAAAATATGTTAAGAGGCTGAGACATGGTAAGCATGAAATAAATGTTAGCTAACATTACTACCATTTGAACAAATGGTATTGTTCTTATTTTAAAACATTTTAAGTGCTTCTATGTGAATGATGAATAAGTTATTTTCACAGGCATGACATTTATGTTCCAGTTTGGAAATTTCTATCAGAAACACTGCTAAAATAATGATTTTGGGGACAAGCACTTAAAAGCCATCAAGAACAGCGGTTGAGGTGGTGAATGCCTGTAATCACAGTTACTTTGAAGGCCAAGGCCCAAGAGTCGAAAGTCTGAGGTCAATCTCAGTAATTTAGATAGATCCTGTCTCAAAGGTTGACAATGTAACTAAAGTGGTGGAGTGCCCTAGGTTCAATCCCTAGTACCGCAATACGTACATACATAGATAAAATAACTGTCAAGAACTAAAAAAATATACAGGTATCCTTATTATCCCCACTGATCTCAGGTAGGGCAAGCCTATCTGATTTGTGTTCTGGATACTGGTAAATGCACACAAGTGTGGGGACATACTACATTCATAACCCTCCCACGACCCACCTCACACCATAGAGGTAGAGGCAAGACAAAGTGCTACAAGCTCTGCTCCTTAAGAGGCATTTACATGACACTACCAAAAATACATATGGTTTTAAACCAAGATCACAGATGCTTCTCCAAATCAACAGGAAACCTACACTACTGAAATTTTAAAAAATAACCTCTAGCATTAAACTTACACAAGATGCGAAAATGTGGACTTGTATATACCTTAACTTCTATTTGCTTAACTGTTGAGGGGACACTAATAATAATACAAAGGCCAAAAGATACAAGGAGTTAAAAGTCCCAGAATGGTAACTAACCTGTACCCAAAAAATTTACAAGGGGCTGGTCTTCGAGGCCCTCACGAGGCTGCCCTTTACTGGGAGTCCTTAGCCACTAGTGTATTTCGCTGGATGGGGCATTTGGCCACCACGGCCAATAAACCCGCTAGTTTGAGTCTTAAGGGCACCAGACCAGGGGAAGGTGGAACGCTCGCGGGAGCTGTTTGGAAGGCCATCATTTCTCCGGCCCCTCGTTTCCTGGTCCGAAGCCACAAGCGCCTCCCCGAGCCGCCACTCGGCCAGCGCCCGGGAGCCCCCGGCCCGGCGAAGCTGGGCACACGATGCCTCCATCACGCAGGTCCCGGGCGCGAGGCGGGGACGCCGCGCAGGGACCCGAGCTCGGAGGCTTGACGTTGCCTCCGCCGCCGCCAGGCAGAGGCGGACGCAGCTCCGCGGGCCTGGGCTCTCGGCCGCGTCGCGGGGCCCGAGGGCTCCCCGTCGCTAGGCCCCCCAGCGACGGGAAGCGAACTCGCCACCGCCAGCCCCCCCGGAAGCCCTCCCCCCAGCTCACACCTGCCGGCGCGTGACGCGGGAGCCGCGCGCGCCCGCCCGCCCGTCCCTGCCGGTCCACTCCGGGCGCCGCGGCCCAAGAGCCGGACGTCGCCCGCGGCCCCGGTAGTCTCTCGACTCCTATCCACCCGACGCCAGCTTCGTGGCGCGCGCCGGGCGCAGCCGCCCCCACCGACCCCGCGCGCTCACGCCCCCTGCCCGGCCCGTTCCCGCCGCGCGCGCTCAATCGCGAGGACACGTACATGCCGCGTCTCAGCCGCGCCGCGCGCCCCCGCGTGGGCGCCCTCGCCCACCCGGGGGCGCCCCACTCGGACTGGGCGGTGCGCGGGGGAGGGGAAGGACGGCGCGGCCGACAGTACTCACCGCGGAACCGCGCCGGCTCCGAGTGCGCGGCGTTCCGCTGTGAGGCGAGACGAGGCGTGCGGTCCCCGCTTCTCCGCAGGCTATGAGGGCGACGTCGCAGGGGGACTGAGGGGCGTGGGGTTTACTCCCTCCCGCTTCACCTTCTAGAAGCTCGGGGACCCCAGAAACTAAAAACAAAATAAACAAACTTTCCCCTCCGCCTCCCTCCCCCAAAACCACAACACAAACACTGGGGGGCCCGCCCAGAGCCCCACTCCATTGGCTGTAAGGAGGTTGCCTCCGGTTCTCATTGGCTGGTTTTTGTGCCCGTCAAGCTGCTGTTCCGCCCCTCCAAGTCCTCGCCGCTGCCGTTGCCCCTCATTGGCTAAGTGCTTCCCGTTTGACGATCTAGGATTGGCTGAACGGCCTGCGCCAATCACGCGGAGACACACCCCCTCAGCATCCCAGAGGCCGCTTCCTCGGTCGCGGACCCAGAGAGTCAAAGGGGAAACTAGAGCATGATGGCGGCCGAGCTTGCTTGGCGCAACCATCGTCTTTTTTCTTTTTTTTAGTTCATCAATGCCTCTCCCAGGCGCTGTTTCCTTTAAGCTCCTCTCTCCATCCAATATTGCCTAATAACGGAATCTATACGTGCCGGCTTCTTGATTTATCCCCACCGAAGTGTTGAGTGTGGGCTGGTTGTGCGTCATTGGACTGTCAGGATGTCGCTCGCAAGTCAAATCCTCAAACCATTGGTGGGACAGCAAGAAAGCCCGGCTCACAACAAGGGCTAATGCCATTGGTTTGACTCCACTGAGTTCTTTCCTGGTACTTTATTGGGCACACAAATGCGTCCTTCAGACCCGGATTTGCTGTGCTACAGTTAATTGTTTAGAAGGGAGCTGGGAGCAACTCTGATTAGTTGACCAGTAGTTGATAATAATGACTACCATTTATTGTGCGTGTTTTGTTCCAAGTACTGTATTGAATTCTTTACAGAGAACATCTGGTTAAACCTGTGAGTTACACACTGAGGTTTACAGGTAGGAAATGAAGGCTTGAGAGAGGTTAAGAAATTTCCCAAGGTCATCCAGTTACAAAGTAGTTGGCGGGCCTTTCTTTGTGTCCTGTATCAGATTCCAGAGTCTTCACTCTTTTCACTATGCTTTAGTGCCTCTTCTTGAGTTCATAAGCGTACCCGTCAATCAACCCAATATTTTAAAAACATTTCATTCAGATGCCAGGTTCCTCAATCAGTTTCTGGCAGTGACACTGCTGGAGACTACCTATAGCAAGGTTGTCATTGCCTCTACTTCATCCACCCTCAATTAGTCTTGATCTTTCCATGACAAATAGCCTGCATCTATGATCATTTTCTTTTCAGATTTAAGAATGGATATTTCTACCACCCTCGTGTGCCCAGAACATGTGCGCATGTGCATTACACTAACCCTTACCATCCATCCATCTTCAGCTTGTTCCTTGGAGAGAGTCCTCAAGAGCTGGAAACAAGGAGAGAGAGAGAGAGAGAGAGAGAGAGAGAGAGAGAGAGAGAGAGAGAGATTGCCTTAGAAATAAATAATTGATTGCTTGCAAATGAAAAAGCCCTTCAGCTCCTGGAAAGCTTCCAGGGAGCTGATGCCAAGCAAGCCTTGTGCTCCTGGCTTATGGCCACTGGGTTCTTTTCTCTGTGACAGCTTTCCATATTTCAGCCAGGGGAGGGCAGGATGCTTCGGACCCATTGCCAGAGGGCCAGCCCTAAGCCTCTGGGACGAAATGATCTTCAGGAGCACAATGCTGGACTCTAGCCCACATTTCGTCAGGGGTAATTACCATTTTACCATCCCAAATCCCTATCCCCTGTAGCTTCAGTGGGATCATGGCCCTTGTTTCACTTCCTAAACCAAACTGTTGTGTAATCTCATTGGCACTGCTTTAATAATAAAACAACCACAGTAACATAATAATAACACTTATGACCTTTAAGTAAAGGAAGACAAAAGTATTTCACAAACATTAATTAAGAGTAAATGGCAGGTATTCCTAGGGCAACTGCAAGGGCAGAAGAAAGATCATGAGTCACATTCTAATAAAGTTTCTAAGGACCTGAATCCTTACAGCTCCACGCACATGCCCCATACCAGCATTCAAAAATCTGAGCATTTTGAACCAGAAAACACAAAGAATGTGGGGTCCAAAACCTTCCTAACATTCAAGTTGACTGATTGTACCCCTATTTTAACCCTTAAAATAGTGCTAATTTTTTGTTGTTATTTTTTGATACTGGGGATGGAACTCAGGGGCTTTACTACTGAGCTACATCCTCACCCCTTTGTATTCTTTTTTTTTAATATTTATTTTTTAGTTTTCAGCGGACACAACATCTTTGTTTGTATGTGGTGCTGAGGATCGAACCCGGGCCGCACGCATGCCAGGCGAGCGCGCTACCACTTGAGCCACATGCCCAGCCCTCTTTTATTTTGAGACAATGTCTCACTAAATGGCTCAGGATACCTCAAAGTTGCAATCCTCTTGCCTCAATCTCCCAAGTCACTGAGATTAGTGCACTAGTTAGTATTTAGTTTTATATTTAATATTTAATTGTTGGATATATCCCGGTTATAATTATACTGAAATAATCTCTTTTTCATCTTTGTATCCCTTACATTGCTCTGATCATAAAAGGTTCCCAAATAGATAATTGTTCAGTAAATATTTAGCAAACATGTGGAGCACTTGCTTAGGGAACAAGGGTTGTACACCTTCCTTATGGTCAGGAACCTTAGTCTGGGAGGGGGCAGGCAACAGGTACACAGACAATCATAGTGTAGTGCTGGGACAATTGGCCCTAGAAGCACATGGGATGGTCAGGGGTTTCCAGGGATAGCTAACCAGAAAAAGTGACATATAAAAGAAAATTAAAGTGCCATCTACAAAGAAAACTAAAGACTATTGCCTGTTAGCCAGGCAATAGTCTGAAGATGTGTTTTTACCTTTAGCATTTGTTTTCTGGGGTTAGAGAACAGGATGGGAATATCCGGGAGCGGCCAAAGCCTGTTATTCCTATATTCTTTGTCTTTGAAGGCCTTCAATTATTTGACCATTCTGCCTCATTGTGCTTCTCTCCTTGGGAGAAGATGGGAAGCCTGAAACCTTGTCATAGTTGCCCTCTTGAGAATAGGGAAATAATTTCCAAACAAGATTGCTACGTGTTTTTTTTTTAATCATAGAAGTAACACTGAATAAATATATGACTTTAATTTAATATGGTATTTAATATGGTATTTAATATGGTATTCTATATTTAATTTAATATGGTATTCTATATTTCAGACAGTATACAAAGTTAAAAAGTAAAAAATAAAAGCTTTCCATAATCCTATCTCTACAGCCAGCCACCCATTAAGGAGAATGTCTCCCCAGACTCTTTCATGACGAGATCCACACATGGATTTCTTCTTCGAACAGTGGGGATGTGGTGCAGGGTCATATCTGGGCTCTGAGAGCTTTTGTTACTCTAAAGTGCAGCTCTGAATGGAACCTGTCCTCATTTTCTGTCTGGATAAGAAGGAAGCCAATAAATCAATCAAATATTTATCACAGAGGATGAGGGTTTCAAATTTCTGTCTCATGAAGTGTTAGGACTCTGGGGCTTGCTCAGCTTGGTGTGAATGTACAACTAAGGGGGTGAGGGTGTCCGCTGAGCTCACCCTCACTGCCCTAGGGCTTTTAGGCACGACTTGGTGATTGTGGCCACAAACCATACCCTGAAAGGCAGCCCAGATCAGAAAATGAAATGCTGGGTTACTCTCCTATACTCTCCCTCTCTCTGCATGCTACTCAGGGTTAATATTTTTTGTTTGTTCCCACCCAACCAGAGTTGAGTGTAAAAAGACCCCTCGAGCCCTGCACACTTGTGTGCAGGCATGGGCACTGTGTTCTTGGAGCACTATACTATTCTTAGAGTTCTATATGTGGTGTTCCATTGAGTTGGTTTTTTGCTGGAAGGGAAGGCAGATTTAATGAGTGATAGCTGCCTTGGATGGTGACCAAGAGTGCTCCAAGCCATCCAAAGCAACAGTCTTCCTTTTTGTCCCTTGAGAGATTGTGCTGTGATCTCTGCCCTTGGCCTGGACAAAATCCAAGGCAGTGGGGATTTTTGGCAAACACTTCTGCAGTGACCCAACCTTGGGACGACATAGCCAGCTGGTTCTACTCCAGCTCTGATTTCTGTGGCACAGGAGAACACCCGCCACACTTTGCCCTGGCCTCTCATTGCTATGAGACATTGGGCAGTGCTTGTAAAGTATTCTGCAATTCTTGAAGCTTCTGACAATAGGATGATCCCTGTCAAGAAACCTGACAAGGGGACAGCTATCAGCTGATACTGCTCACTTGGGCCTGGGTGTGGCAATAGCCAAAGACCAGGATCAATGTAGGAGAGGAACATACTAGTGTGTGCAACGACAAAGGGCATGCTCATAAGCATTTATTGCATGTCTGTGGCGTTTACTGTGCAACAAAGCCCTTGAGATAGACGCTGTGCCACTTCCAAATCACCCCTCATTTTTTATGACCACACTTCCTGAAAGCTACTTAGTCAAGCAGCAAACCCTGGAACCCTTCAGCATGCTGGCCAATGTTAGATGCACGGGAGGGGTTTCACAAGAAGGCAAGGAGATGTTGTTGTTAATAATCACTGCCCTGTCCTGGACATGTGCATGTGTCTGTCAGACCCCATACTGGGGGCTTTGCACGAATGGTGGCAGTCATGCTTCACAGCAACCATGGTTATCCCCATTTTCCAGATAGGAAAACAAAGGCACTGAAGGGCCAAGTAACTTGCTCCAGGTCACCACAGGTAGTTGTTGAATCCACAGTTGAACCCGGGCAGTCTGACTCCAGTGAGTGAGCTGAGCCACACAGCTGTGGTGCCCAGAGATGTCTACAGTAAGAACTCCACAGCACAGCTGGGGAGACAACCAGCCCCCAAAACAACAGCAGCCCCCATAGTCTTTATTCACATACTCCACCCTCCTTTTCCTATAGACTCAGGGAAAGAGGCACACCGCTCCCTGGCGAAGTTGCTGCCTCTGGACGTTCTTCCTCTGTAACCCAGTTGGCATCTGCTCTCCTTCCAGCCCTTCAGAGAGCCTGCCTGCCTTCCTTCCCTTTTCTCTTCCTCCCTCCCTCTCCTCCTCATTCCTTACTT